ACACACACACACACACACACACACACACACACACACACACACACACACACACACAGTATAACCTCATTACAAATGAGCTGCACAGCAGATGAACCGTTCTTCTGCTCTCCTCAGGCCTAAGACATAAATAGTATTCTTCTTTGAAAGGAAACATTAATATTTCTGAAAAAAGTCAACATTTAAACCAAGTAAGAAGGAAATGATAAAATCACATAATTATCTGTAGCAGCTGGCCTCCACATATGCTAAACATGACGGTCATTTCCCCTGGTAGCCTGTGAGGTTGCAGCAAACTGCAACCATGTAGGGAGGTCATTCATTTAGTTTTTAAATCAGGATTATTACACGCGAATAAAACAGAAATAACTTCTTCATACACCTGTGGTTCCGTGAATTGCCCTGATTTTCATCGGCGAAGTTGTGACACGCAAGAGTGTCACAAGCTGTTTCCCAAATGTCTTGATGCCTCCATGTAAAACTCTGAAGCGAGGAAAGAGAGTTGAAGACATCCAAAGTCAGCCGAAAACTAAAGAAAGAAAGAGACATAGTCACACGCGACATCAGTAATAGAGAAAAACACCCAGAGACAGAAATGTGGAGATGTTGTCACAGCCACTCAGGCTTGTTCACTCCGCAAATAACGCCTGAATGACTGCGTCACTTTAAAGGAGAGGGCTGCCTTAGTTTCACTTAACAGGGAATCTTGTAGGCGTGCAAAAAAAAAAAAAAAACTGTTTAAAGAAAGTTTGTTCTTGTGGGATTCTGGCGCAGCAGCAATGGACGGCCCCGTCGGCCAGCAGGACAACAGTCAGGTCCAGATACTGACCGTGGCCCACTCCACCACAGACGAGGGCGAGATGGAGCCCGTCATGAGCTGCACTCCGTCGCAGAGTAAGCAGGATCTGCGAGTCACCATGCTCAAGAAAGGTACGGTCAGCGTTCCAGGTACAGTTTCATCTGTATTAGCTCAAATCCCTATTCTCCCACACTGTTTCCTGGGCTGAAGCTCTGGTGTTCTGATAGGAGCTGGGAACTTTCAACTTCAAACCCTAACACTAGATTTTGACACAGGAAAATCAAGTGAATTTTCATTCTGTGAAAAGTCTTGCCAGTTTTGAACAATTAAAAATAACATCTGGTTTTATTTAGAGGTGAAGAGTAACTTAAAAAAATACTGAAAAGAAATGCACTGCTTAAAAGATCTATGCTTTCATGTTGAATTAAGGACATTCCTAACTGCATGTAGCCATAAAGGAGCATATATCTCAGTCAGTTCAGTAGTTCTGAGTAACACACATTAGATGAGGAGAATTGTTTGTCAACATCAGTTATTTTATAGAAATATGTTAGTCACTGCTCCTGTCCAGAAATGATGACTCAGTTGCTAAAATAAATCCACTGACATGGCTGTGACGGATTTAGTATTCTCTCAAGTAAAAACATCAGTAATGGTCACAGTGCGTAAGGGACGTGTTCATTAAAGGCTCCTGCTCTTGACAGATCGACTGGATGAAAGCATAATTATGTCCCTCTTGGCTGAGGTTTAACATTAGTACAGAGCCGTTGACCATTCATTTATTTCGTTCATTAGCCACACACTGGACTGTCTATAATGGGTATTTTGCTAAGTAACGGATAGATCATAAAAATGTTTCATTATTAAATCACATGCTAATGAGAAAATATATGGCAGGAATGGCTGAAATGTGGCAGACAAATGCGTGTTGACTGTTTGTAAGCCAGCTCTTAATTATTCTAGCTCACCCATTTTATGACGGTTTCCTCTCCTACATTTTCTCCGACATCGGTAAGCATGAAATATAGGTGCTGAAATAAAGCCCCGGCGCTGTTTAACAGCAGAGATAACGACATAGCACAGAGCTCAGGTATATTAAAAACCACTGCAGCTCTCCATGGACATCTCACACATGCTTTAATCTACCATTAAGTGAAAGGCACATTTATGAATCAAATATGGGCCACGGCTGACCTCTTTCAAGCTGCCTCTTTTTCTCCTGTCGTCTCTGAAGGTATATCCAGCAGTATGAATTTCGATGAAGAAGAAGACGACGACGACGAAATCAGCTCCAGTTCCTCGCAGCTCAACAGCAACACGAGACCAGGCTCCGCCACCAGCAAGAAGTCATGCAAGGTGAAGCAATTTCACAGCGTGCCGTCTGTGTCTTTCTGCCCAGCAACCAAGACCAGCCGGCGCCTCGTACCCATGAATAACAAGCAGAAAAAGTCTAGTCGAAATGATTTTGCTCAGCTCGACTGAGACAATTTCATGCCCGACCGTGGAGTAATAGACAATTACATTTTAATGGCATAATAATTAAGTGCTTTCGTCATTCCCTGACCTCGCCAGGATGCCTATATGCTGCAGAAACGATATCTCAGAGCAGATGTTGGGTATGTTATAGAGTGGTTATGAAGGTGTTTCCCCAGGAGCTTGAGAGAAGTTCTGTTCTTTAGATGGAATGAAAGTCCCAACGCTTATTTTTTCCAGCAATTCATGTCAACTAACATACACTTAGATATAAGGTATAGGTATCCGTTCATTAGACAGCGATACCTTTTTTTCGTCACTTTGTTCAACATTTAACAAAAAAGTTTAGTTTGAATTTTTTCTCACTGTCAGGTGTTTTAATGGAAAAGAGTCTGATTCGAAGTCACAAATCAGACATTAAGATTTAACTCTCAGACTCACGTCAAATATGCTGTTTGGAAACTATCCATTAAGATGAAATTGATAACAACAGTATATTTACTGCTTTTCTATTACAATACACGGCATGCGCAGAGACGGGGAGGCTCCTTCTCCAGGTCCGTTCCCACATTTCAGTGTGATTTAGTACCTCTATAAATGTACATCTCATCTAGGACACCCAGAAGCAGATTATGATCTCCCAGGAGGTGCACATAACTCTGACATTTCACAAAACAGCTTAAAAATGTAGCTTCTGGAATCACATTTCTCACTGCATCAGCAAGACATCATTTTATTAAGCGGTCAGATTAAAATAGTTCGTCCTTGACTTCATAAATATGAGTGATTTCTTTCTGTAAGCACATGACCCTACCGTTTAAGTCCCTTTTCTGGGGGTCTCTGGACTACAGATTATCAGTTATTTTAGATTATAATAGCGTGACATATGATATTTTAAGGACAATGCTGGGAACGGTGCTGTGGTTTAGGAACATGTTGTGGAGGAAATGCACATTTTTTTGAGACCTTTGTTCTGAGCTTCTTTAAGACAATTGTTTTGTGAGAGCCACAACAGATAATTATGAAATATCATGTCTTTGTTGAAAAACCCTATCAAACAGGATCATTTCCCCTTGTAGCTTGTGAGGCATACAGGTGCAGAAAACTGCAACCACATAGTCAAGTTATTTATTTAGTTTTTAGTGGAGTCATGACCTACCTAATGGGTTGCAGACTCAAATACGTAAGCTTAAGTGATTCTATATATTTGAACTCTTATTATGGCTGTTTAACTTTATGTTTTTATGTTTTTCTCTGGGTGTGCAGTTTAAGGAAGATTTGTTAGCCAGCTATTCCCAGCTATTTCTAAATGATGATAGAAATCCATACTTGAGCCCCTGTATAATTACACTACACTGTAAATGTTAGGATAATGCATTCTATAAGGACAGACGTGATGAATTGTGAACAGTTAAATTATTTTAAGATTAAAAACAGCTGCCTTTGCATAGCGTGAGAACAACTCTACTCTTTCCTCCTTTAACCAGTCAACCTAATCATCTTTACCTAAACCAGGTCCTGATTTTAGACTCAGTGTTCTCATTCATAATCCCATTAGGCAGGTTGATCGTCACGTTTATTATGCTGCTTTGGTGGTTTTTGACAAAAGTCAGTTTAAAAGCATCAATCGCCAGATAGCATTCTCACTCTGAGTGGGCTGTTCTCTCCCCCAGGAGGTGGCTTCAGCCACCACTCCGCCAGTCAGCGAACCTGCCATCGATGTTGACGACCTGGAGGAGTTTTCACTGCGGCCTGCACCGCAGGGGGTCAGAGTGAAGTGCAGAATCACCAGGGACAAGAAGGGCATGGACAGAGGCATGTATCCAACCTATTATCTTCACCTGGAGAGGGAGGATGGCAAAAAGGTGAGAGGTTTCCACAGGGGAAGCTGTGTGCTGTGTGTGAAACATGAAAGATTCTACACTTACAGCTCCACACGTTGTGTGTTTATTTGATTGAAATGGAACACTGTTACTCAAATTGTATCGACTTGATTTCTGCCTGCCTTTGTCACAGGTGTTCCTGTTAGCAGGCAGGAAGAGGAAAAAGAGTAAAACTTCCAATTACCTCATCTCCATTGATCCCACTGATCTGTCCCGTGGTGGAGACAGTTTCATCGGTAAACTGAGGTAAGTCCTTAATATCTTAGCTCCATGGTGTGATTTGCGAACTCACCCCAGGATTAACTTTCATTTAAACTTGTATTTCACAACCCTGTTTTTCTGTAACAGGGTTACAGGGTTTATCTTTTCACATACTGCCAGAAAAATAGGAAATAAGGCCCCTGATTTTTCAAAATATGTTCAATTCTAATTAATGTTTACTATGACATCCTACTTGAACCCTGAGACAATGTTTGTTGTAAATTCTTAAGTCTTCAGGGATGGTTGCTGGGGTGCATGAAGGCAAAAACTTATTTTTGGACATTGGCTGCTGTTTGTTTAATTTTCTGTCAAGCTGATCCCACACGACTTCAGCAATGGAGAGGTTTAGCTTACAGGAGGATTTAGACCTGTTGACACTGATTTCCAGTTAACTTCTTATGATAAGGTAAAAAAAAACTGGACTGAAACAAACGTTTGAAGGAAAGCTGGAGCCTAAGAAGCTCAGAGGCTCCAGATTTGAGACCTAAATTGAGAAAAAAAACCCAGACAAAATAAAACAAATCAAATCTAGATATTTAAATATATGACATTAATCTTAATGGAAGTATCTAATTTCTCGTTTCTCTAGATAAAGAAACTGCGTAATTTAAATGTATGTACGTCGTTTACTCACACATGGAGATGCTCAGTGAGAGGCTAAGTGGAATGACTTCTCCACCCCTCTACAGTTAGAGAGTGAGCCGTGTGATCAGAGACAGCTTCAGTGCGGTGTCTGCAGCTCCATGGAAACTCCTCCGCAGTGTGATCAAACATGCCCCTGCGCAGCCTTTTAATCTTCATCGCTCGTCTGACCGCCGGTCGATGTGCTGCTCAAAGCTTTACAGTCGCAGGCCCGCTTGAGTGATGGAGATCTAAATTTAAATGAACATTGACCTTTCATCTTGCCCGTCCTTGGGGGGATTGGCCACACTGAGTTAGGGCCTCTGAGAGAATTATAGTGACCGTCCTGGAGTCTAAACGCCACCTGCCTTTGAGGCAGACTTTCCTGAGATGTGCATCAAGGAGCCACTCTTAGCTCTTTGGCTTTTTGAGTGGCCTTATTCTGTAAACTCTATAAGCTCCGATGACTTACTATTGCTAAAAATAAAGCCAGGTGAGAGGAGAAACATATTTTGTCAAGAAAAAACATATTTGCAGTTTTGTTTGTGTTAATTTGATTTTATTCTGAGGCTTCCCCATTGGAAGAATAAAAAGTTGGGCAAATGGAAATATTGCTGGAACCCACATGGATACGTAGCCTGGTCGTGACAGTGTTTAACACATAAATATACTGTTTCTTGCTATGGTTTTTCCTTATTCTTTGTCTCTTTTAATATCTCCTACAGGACATATTAGTTTGGTTAAAACAAAAGAGGTGCAGAGGCCGTATAGCAAAGACTTGTAAATGCATAAGCACACCAATGTCAGAAGTAAAAAGAGAGGTGTTAAGCCCTTTTCCATCGTAAGGCATTAATGCAGTGCTCTTACTGAACGCTATAAATAACTGTACCATTGGTCCGGAGGTCACCTCATGTAAGAAGTCTCTGAAAGAAAAAGCTGGAGCCATTAACCTTTTCCCCTGTCTATTGTGTGGTATATGGGCAGAAGTTTTTTTTTTCGCATTAGTATCAAGTTGGTTAGTTTAATCTTCCCGAGCTGTTGAACTTGAATAGCTCAGATTTATCAGGAGTCTTAACTGTGGTGCTGAATCAGCTGAGGGATTTGTGACTGCTGCTCTCCGTCTCACAAAACTTCGATTTTGTCATACTCATTCTAAGATATACACATTCTTTGGATATATAGTTAATTTATTTTCTAAGATTGATATCAAAACATATATTTAGTCGAACAGGAGTTTTGTATTTTTTGGGATCAATTTTCCTTCATATTTTCCCTGCAGAATGACGCAGAGCGATAACTTACCAATGAGCTGGAACATTTTTTTCCCCGTGGAGAAGTGCAGCTTTCACACATTCTGGCCTGAAACAGAGCCGTCTTAGATCACACACACTTGATAGTGACACTTAAACTGCCAAACATGGGTGATTTTATGTCAAACCCACAGGCTCGTTTGCATGAATGGATCAGACTCTTTAATGTGTGATGCTTTGGTTGCAGGTCAAACCTAATGGGAACCAAGTTCACTGTATACGACAGCGGTCAGAACCCCATGAAGAGCACCACCAGCCTCGAAGCAAGCAACCTGCGCCAGGAGCTAGCAGCCATTTGCTATGTGAGTTCAAATATACAACATGCAGGTCGATACATTCAGTTTTAGAAAGTTATTTTCGACTCCCACTTAGTAAGTAAGTCTCAATCTATATAATTTCTTCATATAAATTAAATAAACTGAAATCTATGTATGCAGAAATAACTTACTGGAAAAAGAGCACGGAAATATTGAGGTTGCTAAATATAAAAAATGTTCTTTCTGTATTTTTTCCTCTCCATTAATAGACATGATGGTATCATATGAAATATGTATTTTAAGTATTGCACATTCGAGGCTCATCCTCATAATTACTTGAGCATCTTTTCTCATCCAGGAAACCAATGTACTCGGTTTCAAAGGACCTCGCAAAATGAGTGTCATCATTCCTGGAATGAACATGGACCACGAGCGAGTGTCTATTCGCCCACGGAACGTATGTGTGTCTTTAATTCTCAGTATCCACAACTCTCGGCGAACCGATACAACCTCCCCTACCGCTCACATAATTGCTCTGACAAGTGTGATGTCCATTTACCGACGCCGTCCCATTCTTCTTCATTACAGGACCATGAGTCACTGCTGGCCAGGTGGCAGAACAAGAACACAGAGAGCGTGATTGAACTTCACAACAAGACGCCCGTGTGGAACGATGACACACAATCCTACGTGCTTAACTTCCACGGAAGAGTAACGCAGGCCTCCGTGAAGAATTTCCAAATCATTCACGACAACGATCGTGAGTTCCATATCTTCCTATTAGGATTGTTTTTGAGGAATACGTTGACAAAAAAAATTGTGTTGAGGAGGCAAAGTGTCAACCCTTAATTTGAAATCTCCTTTAGCTCATGTGGGTTTTGTCTGATGTCGGAGGGTCAGAATAGAAGCAGACAGTTTTATGCAACATTAACTGCTCCCACGGTAGTCTGCACTTTGATCTGAGCACACATCAAAGTGCTGACTGCCGTGATCCTCCCTGCTAAGAATTTTGTTGGACATCTATCCTGAGCGTAGAACGGAATTATGGGGCACTTTTTGATTAGAGTAAAAGGGAAAGCCGCGCAAGTCTTGTTTGGAGGGGCGTGCTTCAAAGCAAGGTGGGCAAAGGGCCAGGATTTTCATGTGAGGAGGACTTCAAAGAGCCTAAAACTTAAATGGAGGATAATTGGTTTCACAATGACAGTTGGGTTAGAGATTTTTCTTTATTAACGCAGGCTTTCTGAATTAGGTAGAATTTGGAATTTGGAGGTTGTTTTTCACAACAAAGAAGAGAAATTGCTCTCAGTATCCTTTAGACAAGATCCGCCTTTAAAAAGGAGCAGGTCACAGAGAGTTCTGAGAAATAGAAACAAAATGAATGCGGAATGAAGCACCTCTGGACATGTTTTCATGAAAGGATCATCTTTGTAAGTCAGGTAGCAAGTGCTCTCATTCAATATATGAGAACATTTGGCCAAAATATTGATAAACCCAGCTTCTCATAGCTTTTCTCACATACCTGTAATAGAAACCTTCTATCACAATCTAATTTCTGTAGGATTGTCTTTGCACTGACATTTTTGTAGGCTTTGGGAGGGGTCTTTGGGACTTCTTCAATATGACAGCAAATACTTGTGTATGACTGCACACAAAGGGGTAGATTTGCAATTCATGACAGTGGCATTACACTCCCTGACTGTAGGGGGATCCAAAACGCGTTTTCTTATGGTTCTCCTCATGGCTTATCTGAATTGAGACAAAATGCACTGTGTAGCCAATTACACGTTAAAAAAACATTTATGTGCACACACATAAAAAATCTTATGCATAAACCGCTTACGCCGCCTTGTTTGTTTCCTCTGCAGCTGACTATATCGTGATGCAGTTTGGCCGTGTTGCAGAAGACGTCTTCACAATGGACTATAACTACCCAATGTGTGCCCTGCAAGCCTTTGCCATTGCTCTCTCCAGCTTTGACAGCAAGTTAGCCTGTGAATAGACCCCAGGAGGAGAGGGAAGGGGTCATCTTTCTTCAAGAGCTTTCAATGAACCCCCGGGACTGGTTTGCGATCTCCAAATCACCCAGTAGCTTGGAAGTACTGCATTTTCCAAAATATTTTGTGGGCCTCAAGTTTTATGTTTATGTATATGTCTGAGGGGAATTGTAGGGGATCCCAGGATGGTCTTTGGTCAGTGGAAGAAACAAGCACAAAGAGTGATCCACTTACAAAATCTAATTTGTTGTGATTTGTACTGTAATGACACTATAAATACCAACACTGTTCTTTTATGTGGTAGATCTAGAGATTTAACATTTCCTTATGTATAAGTTATAACTAACAGTTACACATTGGTAAATTTTAAGAGTTGGCTTGACTTTTAAGAGGTCCACCACATTGATAACGCTCAGTCACACACACCATCATGCATGAATCTTGCTTATGTAGTTAGTGAGACAAAAGAAAGTGTATGCACATCCCGGTATATTTATTTTGTTACGTTTATACATTGTGATTAGTTTTTGCCATGATTTGTAACGGTTTCATCAGTATTGGCTCCATGGAGCTTCCAGGCATTAATTACAATAGCAAGAAAGAGATCCCCTTTTTCACATGAATCAATAAAGTGTTACACATGAAAAGGGCAAAGGCATGTTACACAGTTCTGTGTACCACATACAAAATTGTGCCACAGTGTCATATTTGTGAATGTATAGGATGATGGTGCACTTTACTTTAAAGTCTGTGATGGAGGAGTTACAACTGTACATACTTTATTGTGCCTTTGAAGACTAATTCAGTGTTAAAACATTGGCCGTAAAATGAAATGAGCTTGAATTGGTCTTTGCGCTTTTTTGCTGTTCTCCTTTGCACCGGAGATAGTATTTCTCCCAATTCAGCTGTCTGATGATGACTTAATTTCTAGTAATAAATCATCTTGGTCTGCAAAACTTCCGGGAAGTAGTATTCCAAAGTTTGCACCATGGACTACATTTCAGTTTCTGTCTATGTGCAATATATTTGAATGACAAACGCAACATAAACTAAAGAGATGAGTGTTTATTTATGCCGCACTATATTGCAGGCATACACCAGCTACCCAAGGCACTCAGGCTAAAGTTAGTGCTCACATCCTCCAATGTCTACTGAACACTCACTTACTGCCAACCAAAACAGAGTGTGAATCCCTCCGAGCTTAAACACAAATTTCATCCTTTGCTTTACATCTTTGATCGCGCTTTTGCTCCTCAGAGGCGGAGATCAATACATTCCTCATCTGACTGGCAGTAAGTCTCTATGTCACATACTGTGCTGTTCACATTTTTACTCTACAGCTAAAATGCTATTCCTCTTATTTCTTATGAGAGATTTTCTTTCACTAATACGATTAGCTTTTGTATTTTAAGACCATTTAAAGAAAAAAAAAAGAAGCTAAATGATGGCAAAGAACAATCTCTGATACCGCTATTGTTACTGTGGGTAATGAGGAAATCTTTATCAAATGTGCTATTCTTGTACTCGATTGTGTTCTATTTGAAACTTTATTTCAAACCTGTTGATACTCTTGCTGTAAAGTCTGCTTTTCATACATGTGTCTGGGAACCAGAGGTTCTTTCACTTTCTGTTTTTAGTGCTGTCATTGTAATGTACAGTAAACGGTGTACAATTTACTGTGATGATATCGACACAGTTCTTTGTTAATGGAAGAATTAAAATTTACGGTAAGCCAAACTGTGCTCACTTTTTCCTGGACTTTTGTTAAATCTTTTCGTGTCAAATTGAATTAAATTCTTCAATTTCATGACAAGGCGTTACTTCACTCTCTCTCTTGGTGTTTATATCAGGGCCTATTAATTACAATTTCTAAGTGCTGGTTGTTTGTTTGGGAGGATTTAAGGCCTACTCGATGAAATAAGAAACTGAATAGTGTACAATACTGAGGATTTTTACAGAGACATAGAAATAGACTAACACAGTTGCGTGTTTACATATGGCCAACTTGTTGAGTCTTAAGGAATAGCTGTGTGTAATGGAAAGATGATCCATTGTTGAGCTGCATGCTGGCACTCTCCGCATGAACCATTTCCAGCACTACACAGATGTCTGGAGGACAAAGATGGATTGGAAACAGACAAGTTAAATCCCGTTTTTAAAGCTGCATTTTGCAGGATTTGTTGTGGCTCTGCCTTTCTTGCCTGCTTTTCCTCTCATGGTATTGTTTTCTGCCTTGCATCTTCCTGTTATCAGAAAAATGGCACCAAACATTGGGGTTGCTGATTTATCTCACCCTCATAGCATCAGTGTTTTTTTATTTTCTTTTAAGACCAAGGTGAATGCATGTTATGTGTCTTTTTTTTTTTTGTTGATCATACATGAAAAAGAAAGCCTTTTTTCTTTTTTAGACTCGCCTTATCGGTTACCAACAGAAACGATGAAATGAAATGAATGTATGAAATGCTGTTTTTGTTCAAAGAAAAATGGCAGAGAAAAAACAGAAAGATAAAAGAGCTACTGTGATGGCAGTGACCTTAAAAGCTACGCACAGCTGCAGTTTAATACACGTAGAAACTATTTAAACTGTGTCAATGTTGGAATATTAAAAGTAAAGTAAAGTAGGATAATCAAGTGTTTGCTCCCCCGTGCAATATCATATTGTGATCAAGACACATGTTGTGGAGAGTCTATCCTGAAAATGCAGGCAACAATGAGGAAAAATAACTTGGGAAATGTGTTATTGCTGTGATAGTGATTAGATCACAATTAACCAATCTTCCTGAGTATGATTATGAGGTGATCTGTTCTAGTTTTTTCATGTCTGCATCTTCTATCTACATGGAAAGCAGACAAAACACTCAACAAAGAACAAAAAGTCCCAACAGCGAGGACATGAGCTGCAGCCGGGAAAAAGAGCAGAACAAATTCATATGTGACAGCGTGAGTGCCTGTGAATGTCACAACTGGTAAACAAGATGGGAAACCACATAAAAGGCTCCAGTGCAAATCTCTAGAGTAGGGATCCACTTAAAAGAAATGTTGTCAAAGAATAGAATCTTCATCGATATGAATTCAGCTTCTACCCTAAAAAAATGACAGATTTTGGTTGCTACCATAAATGTCTTTCTTTTTATCTTATATTAATTATTTTGACCCTTGCTTCTTGAAACTGAACTGTGGCTTAACATTGATCGTAAACAGGTCAAATCAAACCAGTGCAAAAGATACATTTCTTCACAATGTTTAATCAGTCTTAAAATAGTGTTTGCACAAGACAAATGTTACTTTCATCTTTGAATGGCTTTGTGTTCTAATATTAATTTAGTTATGATGTACATTTACCTCAGTATTTTGAATACACAGATACAAGATGAACATCACGTTTACATTTTCTCCACAACAGTTCTCTTAAAGCATTTTCTCTGTACTCCCTCTGTGTTAATTAGGTTATGGAATAAAAAATAAATGTCATTCATATTTTTACTGCACATTTAAAGCCATTCCCATAATGATTCCCATAAAGATGAACGCCCCTTTATAGAGTAACCACAGAGAGCCACAGGAAGGGAGCCAGAAATTGCCAGCCGAGAGGAAGCAGGAACGAGTTGGAACGAGACAAGCCTTTTCTGACACATCAGAAAGGCCTTGTCTCTCTGACACTGCTCTGAGGACACATGGAATCAATGAAACTATTTTTAGGTCATGTGTTTCAACAAAAGGGTCACATTGTGTACAATCTGTGTGGAGGTGGTGAGATACCTGAGGTTTGGATTGTAAAAATTAATGGGAAAAAAAGAGGAATCACCGACTTTATACTGATCCACACATCATTACATTCAATCAAAGGCACTGTACTGGCACACACACACACACACACACACTCACGCACACACACACACACGCGTACAAACCCACACACGCAAGCACACACAAAGTTGTTTTCATAACCAACTGACCAGCCTTAGCTTAACAAAATTGTACTCACATCCACTCACATTTAAAAGTAATCTTATTAGACAAATAGATGAAAATATTTAGATTTGGGCGCTAAGGGCCTTCAAAACTCTAGTTACACAAATGGAATAAACTAATGAATAAATATGAGCCTGAGCCTCTTCCCTAGTGTTTATTGGTTTAAAATGAAAGGAAAGAGATTAGAAAGCTCATGCTGTGTCCAGCAATTGAAACACGTAAGGGACAGGGATAATCAAACCAGGGAGACGATGCCACTGAATTTTGACTAATGTGTTTGCGACAGGAGGAGAGCTCTTTATGTCTCCCTCCTGTTCCGCATCCTCAGCCCACTGGCCCCCACTTCTTTAGGCATCTCTGCTTGGATGTGACCGTCCCCCTCCCCTGGCCCCGCCATCGACAAAAACTCCTCTTGGTCCTCGGCCTCCTCCTCTGGGTTTGACGAGACTTCACAGCTGAACAACAGGCTCTCCGCCTCCATCAGCGGGTCTTCATCATCCTCCTCTACTTCTTCCTCCTCTTCCTCCACCTCCATCCCTTCATATTCTTCCTCCACCTCGTCTTCCTTCCCCCCCTCCTCCTCAAAGGTATCCTCTCGGGGGTAGTGGAAAACGTGTTTTTTCTCACTGAAGCTTATTTGCTTCTTTCCTCCGCTTTGACGCTGTAGTTCTCTGCTCACCTCCAAACCGACTCGTTCCTGCTTCCTCTCGGCTGGCAGAGGGAGGCTGAGCAACTGCCTTTTCTCTCCGAGGTCTTCCTCCTCCTCCTCCTCATCCTCCTCCTTTGTGAATTCGTCTACTTCCTCCACTTCTTCCACCTCTTCCACTTCTTCCTCAGTCTCATCCACTTCTTCCTCAGTCTCATCTACTTCTTCCTCGTCGTCCTCATCTTCACCCTCTCGCTCGTCCTCATCTTCCTCTTGGACTATGGAGAGTTTCCTTGCCAAGATCTCTTCTTCCTCCTGCTCCATCCTCTCCGCCAGGGCCTCAGCAGTGGGCTGACTGGAGGGTTCCACCAGCCTGGGGGTCTCATGTCTGCGTCTATCAGAGGGATCATCGTACTGTGGGAAGGTTTCCACCGGGTAGCCTGCGTCAGCACGGATTTAATAAGAGTCACAATCTAGTCTTATAACAAGAACCTCCAAGCGAAGTGCTTGGAGATTAATATTTAGTTTTGTACCTTCCCAGTCTGCCCCGTACGGGACCTCCTCCGCCTCCATCTCCGGGGAGGCTCCCTCCAACCGGCTCTCCTGTATCAGCAGCGTGATCTGCTGAAGCTGCCTGAGCAGCTTCTCCTCCTTCTTTGATATGGAAGATTTACTCTTCCGCCTTCTGCCACTAGAGAGATTCTTCTGCTGCTTTGGATCTACCATTATCGTTCAAAATAAATAAGATGAATTGGTGATTGTTTTACTGTGGCAAATATTTACTAGAATTATTCTAAATGATTTGCTCAGGAAAAAAGAAATTTTCCTACAAACCAAAACAAATTTCATCCTATTAAAGTGAGTAAAGAGTCTCAAACTCCCCAATGTAACGAATATTTAAAAAACTGAAGGTACTTACTATTGGTATTAGGCTTGTTAGTGTGTGTCAGTGCAGAATAGGTTCCTGATTTGTTCGTCTTCCCCTTACATGTCAGCTGTGAACATAAAAACGTTTCTTGTGGCAGAGCCCTACTTACAGTTGAAATGATATATAAACCAATTGTGTTTTACATTTGTTAATTAGTATGTAAAAGCACAATTGATTTTAATGCAGCATACAGATTAAAAAACTTCATAGGCATTTACAATTCTCATTACAATTACAACAGCATGTCATTTTCCAACTACTGGCCTATCAGAGAGGCCGGTGTAAGCGGTTACCTTGTAGATGATATATAGGATGTAAAGCAAGATCCCAAAACCGTAGATGGGTATGACTTGAGCAATCAGATTGTATTTTTTGCCTCGTCCGAGGCTTTTCCCTTTTGCCAGTGCCTCAACAGCGTGTGTCATAGAAGGAGAAGGGTCCACATCCCACTCATCTGGATCAGCCAGCCCTGACAACTGACGCATCACAGACGGGTGAAAACCCGGTCCAACTGGAGAGGAAAAAAATCCTTCTGTCAGTCACAGTCATTATAGCAAATTTATCAGCAGGAAAAAATACCAAAACAGAGTTTATATTTAATCACTTATCTTTTCTGTGGCTGTGACAGATATTTTCATTCTCGAGTGAAAAAATATTATCTTTTGAGATAAGGATTTGTTTTGCCTGTAAAGTTGCCAACCAGCTAGATGTCTTTTTTCTATTGTATGATAAAAAGCAAACAAACTACATCCGAGTACAACATAATGAGAGCGTCAATTTGAATATCAATTACGTTGTGTCAAGTTCAAACTTGACACTATCTGTAATGAAATGGTTGGACTGTCTGTAAAGGGCTTACTCTTGGATATTGCCTTGGCTAATGGTTGTTTGGTTCAAGCAATCCAAAACTTGTTTGCTTTCTTTAAATATATTAATATTAATGTGATGCAATACATTAAACTTTGATTTACTCAGTAGAATTATGACTTGCCTTTGCAGTATTATGTGGTGTGATTGCAAATCTGCAAAACTTTTTGCATTTCCTGCATTTCCTTTTGTGAACATGTTTCTCCCAGTTGAAGACACGTTTATAACGAGAGTTAGTTATCTCTCCTTATATGTTTTCCAAAGTTTATCTGTCTTATGAAATCCAAATGATTTCCGATTTTAATTTTTGATGGAGCTGTGCAAACTCTGCCAGCATTTGGTCTTTTGACATTAACCTCTCTCTGCTTGGTAAGACACTACTGAGGGTGCATTTTCAATATTTCTGAAAGAAATCATGGTAAAAGGTCTTACTGATGATTTGTCAGACGGTGTCCAGGTTTCACTAACTTTTTTACATTGATTATATGTACTGCTATAGTGATGATGCAGGCAAACTCAGAATCCTCCTGTGCCTCTTTAGCTAAAAAACCTCTGATTAAAACACAACTTTATCAGCAATTCATAGTCAATATTTTTAGTCAGAAATCAAAGTACCAGTGTAATTATACAAGACCTTCTGCCATTAATGGCAACAGAATAAATGTGATGCCAGATAAAATTTAAATAAACAAATTAGTAATTTTGGATTTTATTTTAAAATCCACATCTGTTAATAAGACTAAACTAAACTTAAGTGACCCCATTCTTTTTATGACGCATTTAACAAACACAGCCTTCATTTCTAATATCTTTTGAATTAGCTGTTACATTTAACATCAGCACCTAATTCGACAACCATTTTAAACCTTATATTAAATGCATGCAAGTTTAAACATATACGGGAGCACCTATGAATGCATGGTGTTTATTAGAAAACAAACACGATGTACACAGGCTTTCAGGCAAAATAATCTGTATCCTATAACAAAAAGGCTGTGTGCAGTGGATTGGATTTAAAGGCCTGATGCACTCTGTTTCAGTCCCAACAGCTGGTTGGGACTGAAACAACAACAACTGATAAAACTGGACACAGGAGATAGAGATGAATAAATGGATGGATGGATGGATGGATGGATGGATGGATGTATGATGAGCCGATAAGCTGCCTTACCCTCCAACTGCTCCTTTTCCTTTTTTGCTCTGGGTAAAAGCATCCTGGGCAGGAAGAGAGAAACACAGAGGACAGAGCATGATATGAGAGTAACCTTCTGGCAGGTTGTGATAGTCATTTTGTCTCAGAAAATCAGGGACATGCATCACTTTCACTTCAACAATAAAAGTGGTATCCACTGATGTCATCTCTGAAGTGGTGACGTTCCGGCCCAGATTAGAGCAGATTAGACCAGCTGCATTCAAAGGCTGTCGGAATATCTTCATTCTGATTCAGATGCCACAGTCTGAACTTTAACCATTCAGTGGGCTCTGCTTTTATTGTTCACCTTTAGCTAAAAATTAGTGCATAAACAAACGAGACTCCAAATCAAGGAGCTTTAATAAGGTGTCACAAGATGAGACATTTGAACATTGTTCCTCAATCTTGGGGTTTCATTTATAAAATGGACCTTCAGTTAGACTGAGCTGGCCAAATCCAATTGAATAGATTACACTGTTTATAATTTATAAATGTATGTCCAAGACTGTGAGCTTTATGTCTAAATCTGTAAGTATTTATTGCATGAAATTAACAACATGAGGGGTGGGGTTAATTTTATTGTGTGCAAATCTATTCAACTAAACTTGTTGAGTCATTAATTGATTTTTTAAATGTTTATTTTTATACTTTTACTTTTATTTTATACTTTTATTTACTTGGAGTTTCAATAATCACTATCTTCACTTAAGATTTAAGAACATTTTCATAAATGACCGCTATTTTTTGTCTGGGCTCACCCAACCTTTAAGATGTATTTATGGTCAAGCAGACATGAATGGATCAGTTAATCATTTAAACTTCAGAAGTGTAATACTGAACCTATTATATGTATTAGGTGGGAAGGAGGGGTAGAGAGTCCTCACGTTTGATACACAAATATCCAGTATTTTGCAGATATTTAACTGTTGTGCTGTTTTTCTTTTAAAAACATCTCTTGTTGTTTGTCTGATCGGTAGTTTTAGGATGAATCGAGGATAAACACACGTGACCAACGGCAATTTTTACACAATTTGGTATAATTTCCTAACGAGAGACTATTTTTTTTACATTTACAGGGAGCACTTGAACGCAACACATGACCTATCAACCCATCCTCCCTGTGGGATGTATTGTATACAAGCAGCAGCAGATGGCAGTGCAGGTTCACATTCAGCCGACATGATCCCGTCTCAGCAGTGCAGCAGCGTAAAGTGCAATTATGGCCTGTAAACAGATTTGTCTTTGGAATACAGGGACTGAGACGGATGTTTTGCTCTTTGAAATGATGTACTTTTGCACAATACTTGATGCTAAAATGGTGCAGCTACATAACAAAAAACGCAGTCTACTGTGCATCACTTCAGCGTGTCCACAGGGAGGCATGTGTGGGTTGCCGTGTCAGAATCCTTGTGAAGATTATTCTTTATTATAAGGTTGTTAGTTCCTTAATTAGTCAATTTCCTTTTATTGAAAACTTTTTTTTTTCCCAAAAGGGGGACAAATGGAATTGAACAGTGACAATACTCATACACGATACTGTTTCAGTGAAGGCTGAAAGGCTTTTTGTCCTCATTAGCTTGTTTAAAATAGTTTAAATTTCCATCTGGAGCAAGAATCAAACATCTGTGTTGTGGCTCCCTATTCCCCCAAAGTCACATACTTGTTTGCTAAAATCAAATTAAAACATTATTCTCAAAAACATCAAATGGATCAGAATCGGCTTTACTTGGCAGACATTTAGCCTGTTTTTTGTTTCCTTTAATTTTCTGAGCATCTCAGTTCAATCACTTCAAATTAGCATAATCTAAGAGCTAATTTGAGAAGGATTTTTTATTAGGTTGTACAGACTTTTAAATCCAAAACAATAACATGACAGAAAAAGGGCACCCGAAGTAATGGTATATTTTCAAAAATGGTTGTACTGTATCTGGGATTTTATGGGAAATCTCCGACCGGCAAACTGGGTTCTCACACAGCGGCAGTCTTTTCGGGTCGCCTGGCATTCAGTGTGGCCTTGGCATGTGGAAAAGCAGCTCGATCAGATAGACGTCTCTCGTCCAGGATTATATCCCTCTTCAATCCCAAAAGCTTTTTACGTTTTCCCTTTTTTTTTGGTCATATGTTTCAGTATTGTTGTCCAGCAGAGTATGATGTCCAATGAGCTCTAATACATTTGGCTTAATCTGAGTGACTGTAATGTTCCTGCATACAGCTGTGTCTATCCTGTATCCATCATGACGGATTTGATCTATTCAGGCCAGTGCGCCTGTTTCATTGGCAGCCATGCCAAAACCTCCACCTCCATGTGTCAGGGGAGTTCCACACTTTGGGGCAAAAATGCTAACATTTTTCATTTTTTAAAATTTTTACCCCCTCTTTTTTATGACATATTGGAAGAATTGACATTTGTTTAATCGGTCCATTGAAACCTGTCCAATATTTTCTGTTTTATTTGTAAATACTTCTGGTAATTAGGAAGTGGCGTTTTGTTTTTGAGTGTTGAGATTGTGTCGTTCATCCTGGATGATTTGGCCCTGAAGTTTTCCATTCATTGTTGATAAAGAAACATAAATACATCCTGGAGGACATTCGTGACTAGACGCATGAAAAAGTTCTTCACAATTCAACCAAGTGTTTGACATGGCATACACCATTGCACACAATGACTCACAAAGACATCCTTTATAAGCCAGCAAGAATGAGGTATTAATTGATCGATAATTTTCCAAAAACATGAATAATGGTTTTTGCTTGGTTTAATAATCACATTCTATTGAACCCCCAAATATTCGGCGCTGTGTAAAAAAAACAAAAAAACAAAAAACAAACAGCAAATGGCAGTTAACAGCAAACACGAGTAGGTCAAGTAGTTCAACAGGCTACGGTCACCATGGCAACTTGACCAGGGCTGTAAATATTGGTGGGACAAACATGTTTGTTTTTTGTGGCGCCTCCCAGGGATGATTTTGTAATTTTCCAAAAGGAAGAATTAACCAATAATAAGTCCACAAACTATGTTTCATCTAACAGTTGAGGGTGGATCTCACCCTGTGTCCCCTTTACTGCCAGTTTTGATTATCTCTTATCAAAAGGATTGATGAAAAAGTCTATTTGCTGCTTTCTGGAGATTGTCTTTATCTCCTTTCATGAAAAAACAGTGAGATCTAAATAAATATCTTTGATTTTTTTCAACAATACAGTCAAATTTGTCGTTACTCCGCTCATTTGAGACAGAATTACACGTTAGGGGTGGATGAACTGCATTCTGTTACCTACGACTTTTATTTTTCTTTCTTATTTATCTGAACCATATACAGTGATTCAGTAAAACCAAGAAACTGTTTTATAATTCATGTTAAGATGAGCAGTTAACGCATCAGAATATAATGAAGCGTTTTGTTGTTGTTGTTGTTTTTGTTGCTCTTTGGCTCCCCCTACAGTTTTGAGATTCAGCACTACTTTTCCATGAATTTAAATGCCCAGTATAGCATCTTTGCTGACAGGGCAATGCAATTCAAACGCAAGAGAAAAGGAGAACTAATCAGTCATCACTTTCCAACTGTAACAATCGAGGTAATTCATCCATCTGCCATCCTGTTTTTTTCTGAACTCCCTCAATGGGTAAAATCCAATCTGATGTTTATTCTTTTCCTAAGCGTTGTTTGTTTTATTTGATCTCTTTTTCCTCATTTAACTGTCTTTGGTGTCAGCCTGCATCTGCCACTGAGCTTATTTGTTCATTTGTAGGTTTTATTTGCACTGATGTTAGTGATTTTTTTTTTCAGTCCAAAGAGGCACATTTTTTGTAGTCTTTTTTTCTTTTAAATCCTTAACCTAAATCTATTATGAAGAAAGTGGGATGTTCACTAAGTTCCGGTGTGTTAAATCAGTAAGATATCAATAATTACATTTCAGATGTCTGGTATCTGGTGGAGTTGACCTTCTCTGTTGGTTTCAGGCCACAAAATGTATATCACAAAGGTTATTATACTTTAACAAGTCCGAGACAAGACTTGTAAGGTTGAAAAAAATCTCTGGTGTTGCATCAACGTAAACAATGTCAAGCTCAGCTTTTTTTTAGCCATGTTTTTGTGTTCTTTCTCAAACCTGGGTCTAAACTCTTAGGTTTAATTCATAGCTATGGGGACTATAGCTCTGATATGAGACAGCTATAGTTTAGTTATGGATGGAATCTGTTCCGTTATTGTAAGATATTGGTCCTTATGTGCCAGAGGTTGTGTTAGTTTTAACTGGTTTTGCAGGTCAGCAAATTTAACAGAAATAAGCAATATTATCATCTTTATGGGGCTTCCTTTGAGACTTGCCTGTGTCAGTCTGTAAGAAAAAAGTTTGGGCTGATGGGGAAAAATATTTTAGTGAGCGTGTTAAAGGCTGGTTGGTACTTGAATTTATCCAAAGAATATGGGAGTGCTTCATTTAAAAAAAATTGGTCTCCATAGTTTCAGAGGACTCTCTGGTTCATTTTTCTGACAATTCTATGAGTTGACCAACAAATAATGTCTGTACAAATGTCAAACTTTTTAGTTGATAAAGCTAAAGATAAAGCGAACACGGGCAAAAAAGAGTGTAGACCACAAAGAATGTAAGACTATTCACTGAGTGGACATGCTCAAAGGTCAGGTACTGTGGGATGAACCTAAGGGACTTATTAGCAAAGATCAATCAAGAGTCTAAAGGTATTTTGAAACCCAGATCAATGTGTTAATCCCTCTCAGGGATGGGGATTTAATTGATGGTATGCATCTAATTAAATGCTTTCCTTGCCCTTGCCTTTTAATAGGTGAACATAATCTTGCACATTTGTGTGTACAGTAGCTCTTTTCACGTGTCTGATCGCAAGAGGCAGCCTACGTGTTCCTTTTGGCATGATGAATTCACAGTAGAGCAGATATGCTGACGTGTTCATAATGTGAGAAAAAGTCCCGAAAACGCTGCTAAAAGGTGCCGGTGAAGTGTCGCAACGCGGCCTATTGTGGAAGCAGACTCATCAAATGGAGGCATGTTTCCGATATGACTCCACCACATGGAGTCCTGGTTGTTACATTAGCGCTAAAGGAAGACGCTTTTTCAAAAGCT